TACGCCACTGGTTTACAGAAAGAATGGTTGCGTACCGCCTAAAAATCTACAGTAAAAGAACAAAAATTCAGATAAGGAAACAACACAAACTCACATAGTCCAGCAAAAGCGACGCAGTGCGAGATTTGGTGGAAATTTAAATAAAAATATTCGAGTCTTAAAATAAAAATATCTTGTTGACTGAGTTATTTTAAATACAGTATAGAATATTTTCGTCAAATTTTAACTTAATGGATTCATTGAAGTCATTTAAGTATTACAGAATATGAAAATTTAATGCTTATCATTAATTATTATTATCGAAACTATTTTCTCTTTTTACTCAATAGCTAAATTTTATTTGTGACGCTACTGATTATTTGACATAAAACTGAAAAAAATTTGGATCAGCCATTAGCATTTTTTATAATATTTTCTATTGCAGTTTTTCAGAGGTTGATCTTTGTGTAAAATGTTATCTGAGGAATGTTAGAATTCGTATATGTCTAATGTTGAAGAAGAATTAAACCGTGACCCACAATCGGTTTGGAAATATTGAAGAAATAACAATAAAACCAGTCATCCGAATGTTATGAAAATATGCAAAACTCTATACTTGTTGTTTATCAATGCACTTTAATTTTTTATAACTGCTTATACAGTGTGACTCAAAAAAAATACACGATGCAATTTATTTTATTGACCAAATCAAAAACGGTTCACCACATTTTCCAGAAAATTTGGGAATACAAATAGATATACCTGTCCTTGCAAATACGTTGATTACGTCATCGCAAAATTTTGTAATGGAAAAACTCATTTGAAACGTACGCACATCGATTCTACGACAACTGGTCGCAAACAATTGATCGCGCGACAATTGATCGCAAGCAACTCGTCGCAGCACAATTGGTCGCACGCGACAATTGATCGCGGCGACAATTGATCGCAGCGACAATTGATTGCACGTAAATTGATCGCAGCGACAATAGATCGTACGTAAATTTATCGCAGCGTCAATTGATCGCAAGGTAAAATTCATCGGGAACTATTTTCTTTTATTAAAACTAAATATTTTGTATTCTGAATTTTAAGTTGCAATAAATTTAGCAACCAGGTAAGGTGTAAATATCGAATTAAAAACAATTTGAATATAGATAAGTGACGAAGTTTGTAGTTGCACTTTAAAAATTAAAAAATACGAGCGTAAACACCTTGTTACATAAGATTTTTTATTAATAAATTGTCATTTTGGTTATTTTTTTTTAAGAGATTGTTTCTATTTATCTCGTTTCTTATTTTACCTATTATATTATAGGAACTAGCTTCATTATAATAAGTACTCAACATAAAAACAAGTGTTTATTGTTCTTAACTAGATTACAGTTATTTAAAAAATCATATTTTTAACAACCTTTAAATTTTAACACATTTTGATACAGAATAATAATAGTACATCTAGAGTATCCATATGCAGCGAATATAAATTCCACTGGACGGATATATAATACTTATTTTAATACCTTGTAAATTGCAACGGATCTTTTACAGGGTTTGAGAAAGGTTTACGTGTATTGTAAATATGTATATATTGCAAAAACTTTTGTTAGAGCGTCAAGAATAATTTTGTGTTACCGGGAAATCTAAGAAATGTAGGTACTTATGCAACTAAAAACTTATTTTTTAATTATTATTATGTGACTAGTATTGTACTGAAGAAAAATTCAGTTGTACCATATGTGGGTGTAAAAAATACATATACAGGGTTAGTCACGAGAAAATTATTTCTGAAAATTATTTTTACGCAACCCAAAATACGAATACCATGTACCACTTGATACTAACAGAATTTAAAATGAAATGCTTAATTCATGATTGCTTTGAGTTTGGCAATGTCATTTTGACAATTCTGGAAAAGGAGGTTACGCGAGTGTCCATGGTGGTACCGCAGCCAATTGGAGATCTCCGCTGGCGCCGCTAATAAGTTTGTCAGGGCTTGCTTCGAGTGCCTCTTGATCTTTTGCAACCGATTAATGACGAGAAAATTATTTCTAAAAATTCCTTTTACGCAGCAAATTTATTAAAAAATATAGGTATATATTTAATTTTTTAAACTAACAAACGTAATGAAAATAATACTTTTTCACTTAAAACTGTAACGAGAGTTTTTTCACGATTTATCTATAACTTTTTAATTTGACAGTTGTAATAATTTTAAAACCATTTTTTATTAAAGAAAAATGACGTCTAACACGTTTTGAAAGCTATTTTTTTCACTCGTTTAATTGACAAACTTTAAACTTGTGAGAAGAAAAGCTTGAATCACTTACTTGAGCGTCTAATCAATAAGACGAATAATCCAAATGAACATTACAGTAGCATACCGAGAGATGTGTCAGCATTAAAAAAAATATTTTACAATATTTTCACTTTTTTGCACTTTGGTTTAGTCGGAAATGAGCCTAATAGTTACCGTTTTTATGGAACTCGTATGTATTTATTTTGACACTTTTTTTAGAAATAATGAAATTTTTGAGAATATAGCACATTAATTTATTTTCCTCATTCTTAACAATTACTTATTTCTCTATAAACGCTATCATTTTTCGCCTGCGATTAATCGTCGCATGCGACCAGTTGTACTTGCGACGAATTGTGTTGCGATCAATTGTGACTGCGACCAGTTGTCGTTGCGACCAGTTGTCGCTGCGACCAATTGACGCTGCGATCAGTTGTTTGCGATCAATTGTCGCGCGACGAATTGTGCACGACGAATTGACGCGGTACCTGTTTACTTTTACTTTAAATCTACGTACAATTTTATTTTAGCTTATAGAGGTTATCATAAAAAAATCAAATTCGTAGATAACTACATTTTATAAGTAACTTTTCACAAAAGCTGGATTATGTTGTATCTGTGTTGTATTTCAGGGGAGAGGGAAGTTCTCTTTAGATCATAGGTTACTTTTTCACAAAATACCTGTTTTAATTTTTAGTTTATAATAGAATTAGATTTTTTGCAAAAGCAAACAAAAATTAATTTGTTGTGTTATGATAAACCGATACCTAATGATGTTGATTGATCGAATTTTAAACAAATAATTAACATATATATATCTAACTTACCAACGAAGGATTTTGAGGGATTTCGTCCCGTTCTTCGACATTTCTTCCTGTCGCAGCCTGCAGATATAATTGAAAATAGTGTATTACAAAATATATCCATAATTAACAACTTACCGTTGCCATGTTCAATTAGTTTAAAAATTAATTGTTGGGTAATTGAAAATTGCGATTAAAGGGGTGTTTCAATTACTAATGTGGTATTAGTTCAATTACCCGCAAACTACTCGCACTTTAACTGATACTCAAAAAATAAAGCAATCTATATTTATAAGATATTTAATCATACGAGTACCTTTTATCAGGGTAATTCTATATAACATGGGTGTGACAAAATAACGAGTATTTGCTTATTTTCTTCCAAATTAAATAAATTTATAAGTAGAAACAAAAGTTGAAATGTAGATTACAGTACAACATATTATTTATTTAAAAATTTTAAGTGTGGTGGTGGATTAGAGATAGAAAAATTATTTTTTCTGCTTTGCGTCAATAATATCTTCATTATCAAACGATTTGCGTTTGGAAGGAACAAGTTGCAGCCTACATAGAAGTTACCAGAAGAAGAAGATATTCAGTAAAAGAGAATTTATATGTTTTTAATATTAGCATACTGATAAATGTACAACAAAAGTTGTTTTTTTTCGATTTCCGCTCTGTACCGGTTTCGATATGATTCATAACTTAAATCTGGTGATCTTATCTCTTACACTGCGCCTAAAAAAAAAACGAGGGAAGTATTTTTTGTACGTCAATATTTGTTTATTTTCACTGTTATTTACGAAGTCAAAGAACAAACAGATTAGATAAGATGATTTTATTTGAAAATATGAAACATTTGTGATTACGTACTTTTTTGAATGCACACTTAGTTATTACACACAATTAATAACTTAAAATAAATTATTAACGTATTTAATGAAGAAGACGTCGAACAATTGCACTTCACTTCTTAGGTAAAATAGTGGAAACAGAAAAGAGATAAAGCTGTAACTTTAAAAACATGTATTATTGATTTTTAAAATCATTAGGATATTCTGAAGTTGAAAGTACGGCAGAGACTATTGCAGAAGATCACCAACGAAAAGTTCCAAAAAGTGGTTATTGTTATTTATTGGAGTTTTAACTCATTTCTTGTCGTATTATAGAATACGTATACGCACTGGAATAGGATGTGGAGGTCCAGCTACGAGATTGGTGTCGGTGTCGGTGTCGGTGTTGTTGTCGAGGTCACAGAGAGCGGTCTGAACCGAGTCTGAATCTCGGCATATAACGCCGCGTTATAGATAGAAAGAAAGAAAGAGAAAGAGAAAGAGAGAGAGAGAAAGAGAGAGAGAAATAAACTGTCAAACAATATGTACATGAAACGCCTAATAAAGTAGTGCTGATACCGTCTCTTAGCACCCCCACAATGTTCTAAGAAAACAGAACCTGCCAGAATTCAAACAGTATGTAGACCACAACGATCCTCAGGATGCAGAATTGTCCCTGGGTCGACGCACTATTTTTTTTATTTATTTTTTTATATAACGCAGGCCTTCATATTGCTATTTTTTAAAATTTTTGTTACGTGGGTATGCAACAGTTTATTACAGCTCTTAAATAAATATGAAAATTTATAAAATTCATGTCAAATTATTTTAAGTCCCATAACTTAAAAATCCCACACGAACACAACCATGATTTAGCATAGCTGATGAAGTTTTTTTAACCATATTCAATTTCTCCACGAGATGACAAAAGTGAATAGACAACAGCATGGTAACTTTTGAACATGCCGTCAACATTGAAACTCGTGAAAATTTAAAATGTGACCTTGACCTACGTTATGTTTTCAAATGACGTGGGTTTGCGGGTCTGTTCAAGAGTCGGAATATTAATATGTAACAATGATCAACTCAAACAAGTACATGTCGCTTTTATTATCATAGTTAAGTTACTCATTTTAGTATAATAAATACATAGCTTTATTATAAAACACCCTATATAGTTACAGGGTGTGGCAGTACATTTTATGCCATTTGTTGATTTTTTGCTACTTATAAAGTATTTTTAAAAATTTCTTCATAAGCATAATACATAAATACATAAATAGCTAAACTTAGTCTCGTCTACATCGATGGACACCAATTAAGAATACATAAAATATATAACAGTTAGGACATATAAGATATGTCCATTGAATTAAACATTTAAGAATTCAAACCTATCGACATATGTATAAACTTAAAAAAAACAGTGCAGATTTTAGCCTTTGACAAACTTAATACATACGAACTGATTAGACTACATTTGTTAACGTCTTAAAAATAATTAAATCCTAAATAGATATGTCGCAAATGGCTGAAATACTCGAATCTGGTCATTCCTCCATAAATTTTTAGAATTCGATCTAAACATTAATAACTTCTATGATGCATACTTATAGCTTTATTGTTTTTCTGTTCGATATAACTCATACGCAAAAAATTGATAACAAAATTTAATTCTGATCTATGTGCTCATTTTCGTTGATCGATTAAAGTCCTTTATAGTACGAAGCACTAAAAAAGGTGTTGCATCTTCAAAGCAATAAAATGAGACGTTTAATAACCAATATTTTATAAATTCCCTTAGAGTGTGAACAAATTTTCCTGATTATGCCTTTTAAATTATGTATTTAACGGAAATTTGGCAAATTTTTCACATATGATTGAATTCGAAATGTGTGCAATAATAAAAATGGGGAATAATTCACAATAAGATTTATAGCACTTTACAGAGTTCACGTTCTTAAATGATACCAATATCCAGAAAAAAATATTTGAAATTAAACATGAATTGTTATACAGCGCATCTTTTTTGAAAGTGGCCATAGGGATTCCCATGTTAACTTATGTTTGAGTAAAGATTCAGAGCTGAAATTTTTACTGGATCTAGCTTGCGTTATCTTTTGTCGATTTTATTAAAAATCATGTTTTAAATTTGTTGGATGTATGATTGTTATTCATACATACGTACCGAAAAAGATTGATATAAATGAAACACAAACATGTGCTGTGTAACACTGTATTTTTTTGTTGTTGACGCTTCGGAGTCTATGTACAAAGTGTTAAATTCGGAGGAGATACATTGCAGGCAGAAGAGAAAGTGGGGACGCTTGTGACAAGGGTCCACAACCCGAACAAAATTAAAGTATATATCTTTAAAAAAATTACAATATTTGGATATTTTTGTCGCTAATATTGTAGGCAGCCATGTAAAAACAAACATTTACCTGACGTTTCTAAACTTTGATTACTCGTTCAATTACTGGTTTTTAGTGACCGAAATTGGTCAACATATCGCAGTACACAATTAATGAAAAAGTAGAAATGGTCACTGATGGATACATTAAAGCCTTATCGACAACAGAGAAACTCCGCCAAATTTTGCTGCAGCATTCCCACATCGTTCCATACCCGACAAACCACAACCACATTTTGAAAATTTTGTGGCAGATTTATAAACACAGGTTTTTTATTGGACATTAAAAACGCAATTTCAGTGAAATTATCTTTTATTATCTTCATTTATGTTTGAATTCCATCATTCTGTTTCTTTTCTAAAAACTGCAATTAAGGTATTTAATGATTAAATTAAAATTATGCTGTCAAAAATGACAAGTTAAAATGATAAGTCAAAACCGTCTATGATGTACCAAACTTTTTTAATCAAAATAATTTTTATTTTTTAAAGCACAAATTAGCAAATTACTGGAAAAAGTGGTAGTGGAAATTAAAGTAGAACCCGAAGGTTATTTTCTCCGCAAAAATCATATCTGGGTTTTCACCCTAGCAAAAGTTAACATGGGGTCTAAAATTTAACATGGGAATCCCAATGGCCACTTTTAAAAAAGATGCACTGTATACGCTACTGGCCCATTGGTAGTGTATCTTGACCGACCACAACTACTATTCAATAAATGGTACAGAACGACTAGGATTAAGAACCAAAAAAGTGGCGCACTGATAAGTAACTTGCAAAATCACGATAAGGGCGAGTCTTTGGCAAAGTAAATTTTTCCAATTCAGCGCGTGTCGACACTTCATCTTTAGTGCATATTATCTGCCTCCCTCCATAACAATTGTACTACATTTAAATTTCCGTGTTCACAAGCGCACTCCATTGGCAGCCGTCCATCTTCATCCGGAATATCCACTCTCGCGCCTTTTTCTAACAATAATAAAATTATTTCATATCCATTCTTGAAATTTTTGCACGCATAGTGCATCGGTAGCTGACCATTTTTGTCCGGAATATTTATTGGCGCTCCATTCGATACCAGTAATTGTACCATCTGCAAAGGTCCGCGTTCACAAGCATAATGTATCGGCAGTTGTCCAGCTCCATCTGGAACATCCACTTTCGCATCTTTTTCCAGCAAGAATAAAATTATTTCATATCCATTCTCGAAATTTCTGCAAGCATAGTGCATCGGTAGCTGACCATCACTGTCCGGAATATCAAATTTCGCTACACTCGTTGCCAGTAATTGTACCATGTGTAAAAGCCCGCTTTCACAAGCATAATGTATCGGCAGTCGTTTGCCAGCATCAGGAACATTCACTCTCGCATGTCTTCCTAGCAAAAATAAAATTATTTCAGATCCATTCTCCAAATTTCTGCAAGCATAGTGGATTGGTAGCTGACCATCGTTGTCCGCCAAATCAATTCGCGCTCCAATCGTTACCAGTAATTTTACAATGTGGATAGATCCGCGTTCACAAGCATAATGTATCGGCAGCCGTCCGTTTCCATCTGGAACATCCACTTTCGCATGTTTTTTATACAAAAATAAAATCGTATTACATCCCTCATCGTAATTTCTACACGCATAGTGCATCGGTAGCTGATCATCTCTGTCCGGAAGATCAAATTTCGCTCCATTCTTTACCAGTAATTCTACTATTTCTGAACTTCCGCGTTCAGAAGCAAGATGTATCGGCAGCCGTCCATCTCCATCGGGAACGTCTACTCTCGCACCGTTTTTACACAAAAAGAAAATTATACCATATCCGCACAAGTTATTTCTGCACGCATAGTGGATCGGTAATTGACCACCTCTGTCCGGAACAGAAAATTTCGCTCCATTCGTTACCAGTGATTCTACTATGAATAAATTTGCGTGCTCACAAGCATAATGTATCGGCAGCCGTCCATTTCCATCCGGAACATCCAATTTCGCACCTTTTTCAAACAAAAATAAAATTATATCATATCCCTCAAAATAATTTTTGCATACATAGTGCATCGGTAGCTGACCACCTCTGTCCGGAACATCGAATTTCGCCCCATTCGTTGTCAGTAATGCTACTAGGTTTAAATTCCCACGTTCACAAGCATAATGTATCGGCAATCGTCCATCTTCATCCGGAAGATCGACTTTCGCACCATTGCTTACTAGTTCTTTTATAACATCTGTATGCCATTTGTGAAATGCTTGATGAATCGGAAGCTGTCCATTTTCATCTGGAACGTCAACTTCCGCGTCTTTCTTTAACAATAGTTTGACTACTGCTAAATCTCCATGTTCACAAGCGTAATGTATCGGCAACCGTCCACCACCATCCGGGACATTCACTTTCGCACCATTGCATACTAGTAATTTTATAATATCTGTATGCCATTTTTGAAAAGCGTAATGAATCGGCAGCTGGTTATTTCCATTCGGGACATCCACTTTAGCACCATTCTTTAACAGTATTTCTACTACACCTAAATCTCCATCATCACAAGCGTAATGAAGCGGCAAACGACCGTCTTCATCTAAAACGTCAATTTGGGCTATGCGTTTTAAAAAATCTAAATGCCCCTTTTCAAGCGCAATATGTATAGGACGTCTTCCGTTTCTATCCTTATTATTTGTGTTCACTTCTCTGAGAATTAATGAACCCAACGTCTTAGTTAGATTTTTTTCCAATGCATAATGCGCCAACGACTGACCTTTCGAATTTGGCACATCTATTCCAAACTCTGGGAAATGTAAAGCAAAACTCAATATTTCGTCAATTTCCGAATCCAGAATTGAAAGTTCTTCTACGCTATCCCACTTGGAATGACTTCGTTCTTCGGAAAATAATTTTTTTAATATTTGCGCTGACCTGTTAAAAAGAGCTAAGCCTAAAATACTTCTTGAACTAATATTATTGTATGTGGTTTTTAAAGGAATAGAATTTTCAATACACTCATAAATAATTGGACAATCAAACCTAATTGCATAATATAAAACTGCCACTAAATAATCTTCTCCGAACTGATTCCCGTCAAAAATTGGTATCAAAAATGGTAAGAAAATCATCAACTTTTTAAAACACACATGACCCGATGCGCCGAATTTATAAAATTTTGGTGCAATGTCACCATAATTGAGAGTTCCAACAACTTTTTCATTACTATTGATTAACCATTTCGTGTTGAAACTTTTGTCATTCAACAGAATATTGTTTTTAACAAGAGGATAATTTTTATTCCAGGCGCAAGACACTTCCAAAGCGTCACGACCAATGGCGTCTTTTTGACTTAGATCGATATGTATAAATTCTTCTAGAATTGTAGGATTCTTATATATAACTCCTACTAAATATTTCGAATTTCTCGCTAACATTAAATCTAAAAAAAATCGAATGTTTTTATATCGATTGTTAGAAATAAATTCTTTATCACGTGCTTTAGAACTTTCGTGTTCAAATAGATACAAAGCTGCAAAATATTCACCGTACGAATTGTGAATGAATTCAACATCATATTTAGATATAACCCGGCTTATAAATCCTACATCATCACCTTCGTTTTTAATTTTTATTACAAAACTGTCAGTCCTGTTGAACGAGAATTCATTTACAATTTTATGTATTAAAGAGTTATAAATGTAATAACTTGCAGCTACATTTTTATAGTGGTTCATTCTAGTGTTCTTTTCGTGTTCAAAATTCTGGATATTCTGTTCATTTCTTAATGTAGTTTCTTTTTTGTCGTTGTATAAAACATGAAATTTTTCGTCAACAAAATGTTCATATAGATCAAGAACAGTGAAAATACCGTCTAACAAAGGTAGGTATTTGTCTTTGTCTTTTAAAAATAATTCTGTAAGCATATAAATTTGTAGAGGAAGGCTTAAAATTTCATAATTTGGAAAAGACATTATATTTTTTCTTATTTTATTAAAACTTTCATTTAACTCATCATCAGTAATGCCTAAACGGTTTTTAATATATTCTTTTTGCTCGTCTTCACTAAATTGTTTTATATTTCTTGCAAACGTACCTAGCTCGTTTTCCAACATATTCCTTAAGTTGATTCGAGAAGTCAACCATTGTTTCACTCCTTTTTTCGAAAACGCAGTTACTAAAGTTAAAATTAAAATTTGAGTGGCATCAGATGCTTCATCGAGTCCATCCCATATTAGTTGTATTCGGTTTTGTTCCAACATATTTTCGAATACTTTCTGGTGAAACTGATTCCGGGATTCCCGTAAAGTATTTTTTAGGATGTATTGTAAGAAATTCTCCACGTTTGATCCATGTGTCCTGAAGTGTAAGGCGTGATTTCTGGCGTAGATTAAAATGATCCACTTTGTCGACATACTACTATTTTTTAAACTCTTCGTTAATGTGCTTTTTCCCATGCCAGCATCTGCGCAGATAATGTTGATATTTTGTCGAGATTGATTAAAGTACTGGCCCTCGCGTATACTGTACTCCATAAATTCACTTTGTAAACGAAACCTTCTAAGTTCGTTGATACATTTTTGTTCTTGGCCATAATTCCCACTTTCTATCCACTCCAAACGATGATTGTCTAAATATCTGAAGTGTTGGAACTGAATTTCCACATTTTTTTTAAACAATGCAGAAAATTCGTCCTGTGAAAAATCCTTTCCACAAACATATATGTTTTGTTCGTGAATTGTGGACTGAATGAACTCAATTTCACTCACTTCGCTGATTACTAAATTTGGTACAAAATGTTTGAAGGAATTGACATTAGTTACGCAATCTACCAAAACAATTGTATTTTCAGTAATATTTTTCAAAAATTTTACATCTATTACAATTTTCGTCAATTTTCTTTCGACATGACTGGGTGGCAGAACATCTTTGGATTTTCCAATCAGCAATGGAGTCTCCACCATTTCAACTAAATCATCTGTAGTGATGTAATTGCCGCTAGTTTCGCAGATTTCTAGCAGATATTTCAATGCAACGTCTTTTTGACCTTCCAATGAATATGTAAAAGTCTTTAGGACTTCTTCATACAACTGTACGTGGTTTTGTAAGTCAGATAATTTTCCAAATAAGTATGGTTTTTGTTGACCATCTGTACTGTCGTGACGCAGGTCAATACTACTTTTTCTAACACACTCGTTAAACGTTTCTCGATTATCTAGTATAATTATATTCTGAACCTGACATATTTTTATTGTTTCATAAACTTGTGGGCATCCTTCAACCACTAATGGACTTTTTCCAAGCAACCACATGAGCTCCGATACTTTTATGGTGTCTTTATCATAGAGACTATCTTTTGTTTCTAGTCCATTTTCAATAAGTTGGTACTTGTAATTCACTTTATTCATTTCTTCCATATCATCTATATCGTCGACAGCATTTGACCAAACTGAGGTGATTTTCTCGAAATTGTTTTTATTTATAAGAGTCAAGTCAAATTTCGAAACAGCTTCTCTAAAAATCTTTCTTTTGCCGTCCAGTGATCCATCAGCAACAAAAGACAACGGTTTGATAGAAGATGAAAATACACAAAGGCTTATCATATATTTCATCCACGTTTTATTTAACTTGAATTTGTTTCCCTCCTTCATACTCCACTGTGTTATAAAATGTAGGTACTCCCGGAAAACGGTTTCGTTGCTTTTGAAATATGCCTTGAACATCTTAAGTGTACACGTTTTTAGTTCTTTGGCGTCGGTTTGATCAGTATAAAGATACAAATTTTTGAAAAAAGATCCATATTCTTTGAATTTATCTTCGTTTTCTTCGAATTTGTAGCACTGTCCTCCCAACTTTGAAATACGTGTACTTAACAAGCTGTCTTGTTCGCATGGCGTCAATTTGCCAAATTTAAATTGACCTATGTGCTCATCGTTTAGCTTAGAATTGGTAAATAAAACCATCTTTATAGGGGGATTAGTCAACTTTGGCTCTTTTTTGAAGTCTTTATAATACTTCTCGATACTAAAGTTTCCACTTGATGAGTTTAACTGTTCAATTTTTATTCCTCCTGATTTACTGACGTGCTTCAACTGAATTGCGAACGTTTCGGTGCGATCTTGGAATTTAATTTCAACTACAACGTCATCGAAAGAACCATATATCGTTCGACGACAAATAAAAATTTTCTACGTTGTCGTCAATTATTAATTTTAAAATTAAGTTCGCTATGTAGAGATGTTCGTAGTCTTTTCCTGCGTCAGTGGTACCACTTCTCTTCTTAAATTTCTGAAAAGAATATTTAATAAAGTAAGAGGTCCAATTTCAATAAAAGCATATTATTTATTATTCTAAAATAGTTGTCGACACAGGTGGCCGTAAAAATTCTAAATAAAATTTACAATACATCAGGCATAGTAATTTTGAAATTCTTTATTGTCAGTTGACTTGTCGGAAACAAGTGTGTTAATGACTTAACATCTGCACGGTATTCGTAATACACATATAAAATTAAAATTAGAATTAATAAAAAAATTTTAATTGGTTTAGTAGTTCGGAGCAGGCATGCAGACACACGATAGACAGACATCACACAGGACAAAAACGGGAGATCTATTATTTCATACTCTAGGGATAATGGAACGTCGAGAAAATATGAAAGATCTATTCCCCAGATGAACCCTATTACAATATTTTCTTAACTTACGGTTGTAAAATAAAAACAGTAAGAATTTTCATCCACAACTACAAATTTGCCAGTGGAGACTCAATTTTGATATCTCTAGAAGGAATGGCAACGGCGATATGGGTAAAACCAGTCTTACAGATTGTCAAAACATGTAACTAATATACTGTGAGTTGTAACTAATATTTTATAATTGTTGTAAAATTATGCTTTAAATAAAGAAATCATAACAGTGAATGTTAAGATTTGTAAATTTGTTAATAATACATAATTATAATTAAGCCTAAATGTAATATTTCTTTCTGACTTACCTCTGAAGAATCTTCCAACGGGTGAGTTTGAATGGAAGTATTTTCATGTTCGATCTGTAACACAACGAGAGTTAAAGTTACAAATACTGAAGTAAGAGTATAGAACAAATTGTTTTTTTGCGACGCCGATGCTATATGGATAAAGCATTTCCAATGGTACGCAACAACAAGGCGCATTCTATTATCAAAAACAAATGGATTACGAAAGGAATTCGAATCTCATCGGTAACACTCAAAGAATTATTTAGACTGTCGATTAGATACTGAAGTAACAGTATAGAACAAATTGTTTTTTTGCGACGCCGATGCTATATGGATAAAGCATTTCCAATGGTACGTAACAACAAGGCGCATTCTATTATCAAAAACAAATGGATTACGAAAGGAATTCGAATCTCATCGATAACACTCAAAGAATTATTTAGACTGTCGATTAGAAATCGCGAAAATAAAGAATTTTATGATAAGTACAAAAAAATTTATACCAAGGTTATCAAACAGGCAAAAAAAAAATATAACAACGACTTACTACGCAATGCTTCTAATAAGAATAAGACTGCTTGGCAAATCATTGGCAAAACAAAACCAAAAGAGAAACACATTGAACTTAACATAAATTCAGGACTAATTAAAGACGAAATAACATGTGCAAATTATCTGAATAAATACTTTAACGAAATCGCAAGTACTTATTATAACACCAAAATTAGTAATAGTAAGCCTAATAAAACTACTATTAATATAAATTCATTTTATTTTGAAAATGTATCAGAAACTGAAGTACTGAATGTAATTTATGAGCTAAAAAACAGTCATTCGAATGGGCCCGATGAAATTAATACCATATTACTAAAAGAGTGTGCCACTAATGTAGTTAAACCTTTAACAACAATAATAAACAACTCATTAAACAAAGGTGTTTTTCCAGAACAGCTCAAAGTGTCTAAAATATATCCACTCTTTAAACAAGGAGATCGTAGAGAAGCTACCAATTATAGACCAATTTCTATCTTAAATTGTTTTTCTAAAATTATAGAAAAAATAGTGGCCAAAAAAATAATTGTTTTTTTCGAAAAGTATCATCTTAAAAACGAAAAACAACATGGGTTCACTAAAGGTAGATCAACAACATCAGCAATTACAGAGTTCGTCACCAAATTGTTTAACTGTCTTGATAATAACAAAAATACAATTGGCTTATTTTTAGATCTGAGCAAGGCATTTGATCTTGTAAATCACGAAATACTACTACATAAACTGTGGGCATTAGGAATAAGAGGTAACATATGGGACTGGTTTAAGAGTTATTTAAAAAATCGACAGCATTATGTTGAGATAGGCGGTAAAATATCTAAACGATTGATAGCCGACAAGGGAGTTCCACAGGGTTCTGTTTTGGGACCTCTGTTAAGGTAAGTGTCCACTTGCGAGAAATCGCCTCAAAATCAGCCCTGGAGAGCTCCGAGTCCAGTCGAGTAAAGACGAAACACTGATCGGCTGATCTCGCCGCGAACGATATTCTCTCCAGTGGACAAGCCAAACTGCGTTTACTTGCGAGAGATACTGTCCGTGTGAAGAAGCTTCGAATTGGGGAAGTATTCCCCGAGAGTAAGCAGTTCATCATAAATTATTTCTCGAGTAAAGCCGACTTATTTTACACGTTTATGATTCTATGCAAACAGTCGTGAAAACGACTACGCAATTCGGCCAAATCTGATCGTTTACCTGACTTCAACATTTATACAGCGTTTTGAGATAGGTAACACATTTTTATGAAATTATTAAATACTAAAAAAAATGTAAAACGAAAATAAATGACTAAATTATGTTCATTTGTCGTAAATCTGAAGCAAGTAATGTGAAAAGTAGACTAGATTAACTTTTTTAATTTATAATTAAACATCATAGTTTGTATAAGTGATTCTGATTATAGTTCATTATTATTATTATTATTTTGTTGTAGTACGAGATTGAACTATGCACAACGAAGTAAATTCAATTTTTATTATTCAAATAACGTTTTTAAATGAATTTTTAATAATAATTTACATATTAGGTACTACAAATGTATTGTTAAGTAGCATGAGTATTCAAAAATTAATATTTATATTTATTTTCGGTGTTTATCCACAAGTGCTTTTATAAATTGATACCTGCCTCACCTGAAAATATAATTATTAGGGACAATAATTTTATAGATGTTTTTACACACTACAACATTGCATGTAATTGTCCTTTGATGAATCATAACCTGCCGGGATGATAATCTTCAGGTGCCGGTCGTATTAAGCGCTCTTACCAATCTAACCCGGGAGACGATTTACCTATACCCTTTTTGCTACCTGTTTTCCCAGCATTTACATTTCAGTTGAATTTCTTGAAAGAGGATTAACAAAAAGCTCATAAAATCATAAATTATTTGTCGGTCGAGTACAAATCGCTCGTTTCTCTCGCTAGTGTACCCGAGCAGTGGACAGGGTAGCAAATTTGCTAGAACTTGGGCTCTAGTTGGAAACCAAAGCTGTGCCTCTCTGGAGGTACTTTCACAATACGAACACGTTTCGAATTCCTACAGTTCTGTCCGCGAGTGGTGAGCTTTGCCATGGCCAAATTTGGATGGTCAAAAGACCAAACTGCAGAACTAATTGCACGATATGGAAAAAAAGGACTATAGAAATCGCGTAGCATACACTAAAATTATTTTCAACTATACAGAGTGTTCTGTTTTTGAGGCGTAATATTCAACGTACTTTTTTAAATAGAATGCCTAATTCTAATTTTCTAAAAAATTTTTGTAATGAAGCGGTTCACAAAAAAATCGCAATCGTATTAATTTTAAGATCTGTGTTATAATATTTTATGGGGAGGTAAACAAAAGTACGTGCTTTGCTATGGTATCAATTAAATTAATTTCTAATATGCTGAGTGTTTATAAAAACAAAACTAAAATATTAACAATTTTCAAACATCGTTATTTCCGTCAGCCCATTCTCTACTTTTACGTTTTCTCGACCTTTCATGACCCCTAGAGTACGAAAAAATAAGTCTCTAGTTTCCGTCTGTCTGTCTGTCCGTCTGTCTGCCGTCCCGATTTTTATTAGACAGATAATCTCCAAAAGTACTGGGTCGATTCCAGATTTTTGGAAAAGAAAACATAAAACAACATTTTACAATTTAATTTTGATTCTTACAGCTGTTTTAAAGTTATGATAAGCATAATAAACTTTTAATCAAAATATATTTGCTTATCCCCTCCAAAAAATTGATAACGTCAGTTCAAAATTTTGCCGAATAATTTCCACCCGAAATGTGCAAAATATATATGATCAGTATAATACTTGTAATTTATTGTTGTGTTCATATTTTTTAGATTTGCTTATACAGGGCGACTCAAAAAAAAATGAATGCGTGATTTTAGTTTCCTGAATAACACAAGAATTGCAAAACTGAATAGGTACTTTGAAATCTTCCAGACGTTTTAAGGTTATTGTAAGCGTGGTAAATTGTTAATCAAAACATATATGTTTATTCCCAACAAAAACTTGATGACGTCATCTCAAAATTTTTCAGAATAAATTCTATCCAAAGTGTGCAAAATATGTTGAGTTTTTAATTGTGATTTATCACTGCATTCATATTCATCTACTGTTATTTTTAGTACTATACTGCACCAATCCAAGTTGATATACGTGACCTTGCAAAAATGTTGATGACGTCATCACAAAATTGTGTAAAGAAAAAACTCAACTCGAAAATGTTAGATATGTTTCATAGTTCTTTCGGTGCGAGGGAAGTTCTATCGAAACAACTTTCGACCAATTTTTTACATTTTTAAGAGATATGTGGAAAGAAGATTTTACATAATATTAAATAAGAGTAATAATTGCAATGTTGATTTAATCAAAATCAACTCTACATTAAAATTATATGACATTATAATAGAGGGTGGGATCATATGAATGTGACAACCTGTGACACAGAAAAGAAAGGTCCAAAAACCCCAAAATGTACGTGACATAACCTATGGAGAACACCTTATTTTGTTCAATGATTTACATAATACTTTTACATATGTACCTGATACAAAAAAATCGTAATGTTACTATTACTCTTTCATGAATAGAAATAGCATCGTGCATTTGCGTATTTCTTAGCACAATTTTAGGTCCAGATAATAATTTATGTCCTCTTACTACCTGTTTTCACAGCTGCAATATTTTACCTTATTTCGTGAAAAATAAATTAACAAAAGGCTCGTAAAATCATAAATTCTTTGTCGGTTCGAGTAAAGAGGGTCCATTTTCCTCGCAAGTGCAACTGTGTAGTGGACAGGGTTTTGAGAGCTTTGTCTGATCGACATCTATCGGCGAGCAAAATTTGCCAAAATATCCTCTCAAATCGACAAGCCCTTGAAAGTAACTCTCGCGAATTCTCGCCAAGTCACTCTCCAGTGGACACGTACCTTAATATATCATTTACACTAACGATTTTAATTTCAAAGACATCATAATGTTTGCTGACGATACTTCAGCTATTATATCTGTGGAAAAGGATCATTCAATCTCTCTCCACACTAGTAAAACAATAACAGATCTAAGTCAGTATTTTGATAATAACAACCTATATATTAATAACAAAAAAACGAAATTTATGAAATTTGAAAAAACGATTAAAAACAGAGAATTTAGTTACCTAGTGAAAACTCCTTTGGGATCTATAGAACAAGTAGATTCTCATTTATTTCTAGGTGTTACTATAGATCGAAATCTTGCGTGGACATCTCATATTAATAATATCTGTCAAAAAATGAATACCTCATGTTTTGCCTTAAAACAGTTAAAACAATATGTAAGTACGGAATTACTAAAAATGTATTACTTTGCCCATATTCATGCAATACTAAACTACGGGATAACTGTTTGGGGCTCATCATCAGACTTACCTCGAGTTTTTAGATTACAAAAAAGGGCTTTAAGAACTATTGTAGGCATAAATAGTAGAACCAGCTGCAAACAATACTTTGTCGAACTTAAAATTATGACTGTACCATGTTTGTTCATTCTTTACCTTGCAATATATGTGAAAAATAATTTGAATAATTTTAATACTTTAAAAGGACACCACAAGTATTCCACCAGAAATGAAAATGTCCTGAAAATACTCAAACATAAAACATCATTTTTCGAAAAGAGTCCTGCTTATTTGGGTATTAAATGTTTCAATAAGATTCCAAATGATGTAAAAAAATTAAACGTAAAAATTTTTAAAAAAACATTGAAAGGCTGGCTAACAAATAAAGCTTACTATTCGCTTGATGAATTTCTCCAAGATAGTGTTTTAACTTAAATGTGTTTTTATAGTATTTGAGTACACAAATATATGTAAATATATGTGAAATGTGATATGTATATGTTTTGATTTGACGTATTCTATACAACTTGTAGTTGTCGTATGAATAAAACTATATTATTATTATTATTATAAGTATGTACGTCATACTTATTTGTAATGTACTAAGTTAATATTCCTCCTTCAAGCCCTCAAAATTTCATATAAATTTTCCATTACGTAGTAAATGTTATCACTTCGATCGGTCACAATAAAATGTAACTATTTACTTAAGCCTTAAATAATAAAACTGAGAGATCCATGTCTAATAATGTTGAGTTATGAGTGTTATCAGATTATCATTAATCCTTTATGATCAGAATCCGGACTGGAACTAGTAAACAGGTACAATTAAACTTCGCGTCGGAACGATTAACGTTCAAGTGGCTAACTATACTGTACAAAAAAGAGTTAGTTTGCCTTCAAATTCACGCAACGATTATTGCTTATAAAAGTTTTACACAGTGAAACTTAAAGAAAACAATAACTGTTAACGTATCTTATAGACCATTTGCAGGTTGCTGCTCCCTCTTACCCGAGATCTGCTAACAATCCACTTTATTAGTGTCGCATAGTGCTGACTGATCGACTAATAATAATAACTAATAATAAACTAATATTAGTATCTAACTTACCGAGGAAGAATTTGCGGGTATTTCGCTTCGTTCATCGACACTTGTTCTTTTCGAAGTCTATAAATAAATGCAATTGCAAATAATTTGTTATAAAATGTATGTTTCAGCAACAACTTACCGTTGCCATGTTTAATCACAATAAAAAATAACGTAATGCAATTGTAGTTTGCAATTAAACAGAGCTGTACTTATTATTATAGTGTTAATTTGATCATTCGTAAAACAATTCTGATAGAGACTCAAGAAAGCAATCAATACTTATAAAAAAATAATCTTATCTTTTAATACTGTTATTATTGCATGGGTTACTTTATGATACGGTACATCGTGAAATATGTTGAATGCCCTTTTTTTTCAAGTCAAGGCTAACTAAGATCACAAAAGTTGCGTAAATATGCGAAAGCCAATTTTAATTGGTAGTTTCGGGGATGGTTTATAAATAAAAAAAACAGGGAAAACTTAAAAGAACAGCTAAAAAATCAAAAAATTCTAAAAATTTTGTATGGCAATCGCCACTTCGAATTAATTTCAATAGTTAGCGTTCCTGACGGACCTGTCGTCTAACTAATGTGTCATATAGAACTATTTCGTCCGTGCGATTGTGAAAAGTATATTGCATGTCAAATCGTTCTTTGTTTTTTCGTAAAAAAACGTCCTTTATTTAAAAAAAAAGTCTTGGTTAAAATGAATTTAGTTACACATTGCGAAAGTTTCTTATGAATTTTGATCTGCCATTCTATTTACTTATATTCACTTTGTTGGTTTCGACAAAACCTCAAACTTTACCGTTATTCGAGGATTTAATTTGAAGTTTTCAATATTTTAAAATCCTCAAGACAAAATTTACAGATTTGATTGACTGTGAAAATAATTCTGTGTAGTTTTATGAAGTTCATTACAATGCCGAGAAGACGACAAGCTGACAAACCGCAATGATTTATTTCATGGGTAGAATTACTGATCACCGTTGTCCTCATAATCAACATAATCAAACATTGAGGCGAGACATTCGGTGGTATGAATAAAACTGAGTAGATACTCATACTCGAAGTACGAAGTACCTTCTTCAGTATTACCCTTATATACCTGAGCATCTACTCCATGTACTGAGTACCTACTTGGAAACATTGTATCTCCCCTGACACAAATTGAACATCTACACGTTTTGTGACCATTTAATCTAAAAATGAGCATCGGCGTGGCAAATGACTGAGCTGTCTGTAAAGCAGCTTAGACAACGAATAGGATCGTTGTAAGAGTGAATTTTGACTAAACATTGCGACTTTCATGAACGTAGAATGTCGTCAAAAGGTGCATTCAGTTTGAAAAACACATTAGGAGCGGGAATATCGAAAACTTTTCAGGTAATTAACTTTTATTTATGCATAAATTGTACAGTGCGTTTTTTATAACACTGGCCATAGAGATTCCCATCTCAAGGTGTCTACCCCATACTAACTTATATTTTGGTGAGTCGATTTTTGCTTTGATGGTTGAACACTGTCACTGTTGTCCTTTTTTGTTATATCGAGATGCTACTTGAGCATCAACTGTTACCTACTGAACTATTAATATCATCTAGAAAAACTAGAAATATTTTGATTTGATATTCAAGTAGATACTTCGTATTTCGAGTGTGAGCATCTACTGAGTTTTATTTATATCAACCATTGTCAAAAAATTGATCGAACGTTGTTTCGACAGAACTTCCTTCGCACCAAAAGTATAATGAAACATATTCAGCATTTTCGAGTTGAGTCTTTTCTTCACACAATTTTGTGATGACCTAATCAACAGGTGGTAGAAAGGTGAAAATTTAGCGTTATATGTATTTCTTGATGCCAATTCTTAAAAAAAATAAAAATAAAAAATTTTGTCCAAAAAATAGACAAAAATTTTTTAGGGTGGGCCACTCTTATCACTTAGGGGTTTAAAAATAATTTACAACCTATTCTCAGACCTACCGAATATACATAAAAAATTTCATACAAATCGGTCAACCCATTTCGGAGAAGTTCGGTTACAAACACTGTGACGCCAGAATTTTATACATAATGCATTATTATTTTAGAAGAAATTTCATTACCATAAAAAAGGTTATACTGACTCGACCTTAAAAGATAGACATATGCTGTCGGACTTTTCTTTAGAACTTTTGGAGGGGAACAATTTCGTCATACATGATTTTTACGTAACTTTAACCGTTTAAGCAACGTAAGCAACGGAAGCTGTCAAAGTAGGAATAATTTTCCCGTTTTTCCGAATTTTTCATTACTTCGCTCCTAATGATCGTAGCGTGATGTTATATAGCCAATATGTAGATATGATACATGGACTATCCAACACAAAAAGATTTTTTGAATTTGAACCAGTAGTTTCTGAGATTAACGCGTTCAAATAAACAACAGATTCAGCTTTATTATATAAGTATAGAAGTATAGATAAATTGTGCAGTGCGTTTTTTCTAACACTGGCCATAGAGACTCCCATCTCAAGGGGTCTACCCCATATTAACTTATATTTTGGTGACTCGATTTTTGCCTTGATGGTTGAACACTGTCACTGTTTCCCTTTTTTGTTTGCATGGAGATGCTACTTGAGCATCAACTGTTACCCACTGAAGTATTAGCATCATCTAGAAAAACTAGAAATCTTTTCATTTGATATTCGAGTAGATACTTCGTATTTCGAGTATGAGCATCTACTGAGTTTTATTTATATCAACCATTGTCAAAAAATTGATCGAACGTTGTTTCGACAGAACTTCCTTCGCACCAAAAGTATAATGAACCATATTCAGCATTTTCGACTTAAGTCTTTTCTTCACACAATTTTGTGATGACCTAATCAATATTTACGGTCAACACGTATACCACCTTGGATTGGTGCAGTGTAATACTAAAAATAACTGTATTGTATTCCCAAAATTATCTGCGAAAATCGAGTGAGCCATTCCATCAATTTTTGGGGGGGAATAAATAAATATTCTTAACAATTTACCACGCTTACAATAACTTTAAAACGTCTGCAAGATCTCAAAGTATTCATTTTTGCAACTCTTGAGTTATTCACTAAAATAAATTGACTGAACCATATTTTTTGAGTCACTGTAAAAACAAATCTAAAAAATATGAATGCAATGATAAATTACGAATATATACTGATGATATTTTGCACATTTTAGATAGGATTTATTCGGCAAAATTTTGAGATGACGTCATCAAATCATCAAAAGCTACCATGCTATACAGTAACTTCAAAACGTCTGCAATATTTCAAAATTCAGTTTTGAAATTCTTCACTCAATCAATAAAATAAATTGACTCAGTGATTAATTTTTATGAGACACCCCCTATAAGCAAAACTAAAAAATATGAATGGAATGATAAATCACAAGTATAGCCTCATCCTATTTTGAACATTTTAGATAGGATTCATTTGGCAAAATTTTGGGCTGACGTCATCAATTTTTTGGAGGGGATAAGTAAATATATTTTGAATAAAAATTTATTATACATATCATATGTTTAAAAAATCTGCAAGATCTCAAAGTATTCGGTTTTGCAGATTCAAAATTAAATTGTTGGTGAAACGAAGTTCACGAAGTCAGTTAGTAACTGAGTAAGGGGAGTTTAAGGTAGTGACACGTAAGTGATGGGTTTGCGGGTCTCTGCAATGATCAACACAAACAAGTATCTATCGCTTTTATTATCATAGTTTGGTTACTTATCTTAGTGTAAAAAATACATAACTACTTTTATAAGGATAAAACACCCTACGGGGCAGTACATTTTGCTACTTACAAAGTATTTTTTAAGACTTTTTTATAATTATAATACAGAAATACATAAATGTAACCTTGTCAACATCGATGGCCACCAGTATACATAAAATATAAGAGTGTAACATTTAAAACACATAACATAGACTATTAAAAATTTAAGATTTCGTCAAACCGATCGATATGCGTATAAATACTTAAAGAAAACAGTGCAGGTTTTACTCTTTGACAAACCTTGTATATATATACTCAAAACATACAAACTGATTACATTACATTTATTAACGTCTTAAAAATGATTAGATCCTACATAAGTATGTCGGAAATCCCTGATATATGGTCACTCATTCCTAAAAAATTGATAACTAAATTTAATTCTTATCTATGTCATTTGTACTACGACGCACTAAAAAAAGTGATGTATTTTGAAAGCAATAAATTGAAACGTTTAACAACCAATATTTTATAAATTCCCTTAGAGTGTAATATAATTTTGTTAATTACGTCATTACGGTGTCCAAAGTGATTCGGTTTAATTGAAATCGTGTCATTTTAGTTAATTTGTATATAATAATAATAATAATAATAATAATAATAATAATAATAATAAGTGGTGGGTCTTAAATAATAATGTTTATTCTAAACCAACAGACATAATGTCTATACAGGTAACACAATAACACAAGTGATTAAAAAAAGAAAAAAAAAACAATAATATTAATAAAAGATATAACATAAATATATATAGACCAAAAACAAAAAAATTACTAAAATGACCTAATCAAATTATTGCTTATTGTTTCTTAACTTCGGCATGAGTTCTTAAGACCCAGTACACATACATAGCGATAAAAGTTTCTTTCTAATGTTTTTACTACAGAAATCATGAAAAAATATATCGATGTCATGGTGCATTACACAATTATACAATCTAAGACTACTTACAAGGGGGCTGTTAAAATGCCGATAGGTGTTCGGTAATACATAATAGAATGTTATAGGAGATCTTACATTAATTCGAGGAACTCACATTTTAATTTCACTTAACAAGTTGGGGACTATCACTGCACCTTTTAAGATTTTTTGTAAGAATATTAAGTTAGAAACATTTCTTCTAGCACACAGGGGGGTCTCATTAACTAAATTTAGTAGAGCATTTTGATCGCAGTGTCGTGGTGGATAACACTTGAACATTTTGAAATAAAGATATTTACAGTATTTACGAAGAACATTTTCAAATAACATTACATATA